AGTGTCGAGACGGAGGGAGAGGGGGAATGCTCTGGAATGTGAAGAATGAGGGTTTGTTTAATCCTTGTGGGGGATAATTTATTAGCAGCAAAGGAAACCCTGCTGTGCAAGACAGGCCCGTCTCCAAAGTGAAATTCGTGCATATGAGTATCGGTTCCACCCGTGAGACACTTCACTGTGTGCAGTTGTTAAAATTGAGTTATAAGTGAAATCTACAACAACCTCAGGAAATAAGTGCTACTATAGAGCCTGAAATGTGCTTTTACATCAAGTATTTATTTTAGAACTGGATGCTCTCTGCCTTGAGCATGGCATAGAAGTGAAGCATTTAAACCTTCTGTGAACTGACACTGCAGCAATACTAATTGGTCTGAAAGCTGCCTTTTCCTGTGCTGTCATTTAGATCCTTGCATTTAGCTCGTATCCAAACAGAGACCGAGCTGTGGTCTAACCTAAAACTTGATGCATGAATGGGCCAACTCATTTCCACCTCCCGATAACATTACCTATTTGGTTGGCTGTGAGTTGTTGTGGTGGAAATAACGGTGCAGCTAAAAGTTCTGATGAAATCAAATTAAAAACATCTGTTGGTGTGGAAAAGTGATTTTGTCTTTAGTCCTCTGTAGTGGTCTGAGTAATCTGGCTTTGCACCATTCATGGGGGAGAAAAGGGGAAATGAGAGCAACAGAGAGAATGGGGAAACACAAAGGGGGTAAAGATTTAGTGAGGCAGTAATGAGCTACTGGAAGGGAAGAGAACATGCAGTTTGATTGGTCCACCTATGCCTAGCCAGCATGGCATCCTGGGTAAATATGACCCAGCAGTTAGTTGCCGTGGTGATCTAGGAATCAGCAGCTGCCAAGAGGGCCAAGGTGGGAGCACAGATGGCTGGATGCACTCACCCACTCAAACAGAAAGTACATTTTACAAGACAAGGCAAGATGATGCAAAATGTAATTTGAAAGTTTAAATAGATAACATATTGTTATTATGACCGTAAAAGAGCGAGTAATAACAATATATTTTATTTACTTCTACACAGTTACATATATGCATATATAAGAGGTTGTTTTACAAACAGTGTTCAAAAATCTGAATTGGTGCAGAACAGGAGAATGAAGGAGTATCGTGTTATTCTGTGTGACGTATAGGGATAACCTGGCTGTGCAGAGCAACAGTGGTTGAGATCTCACTCTGACTGCTCTCTATTTGATGTGTTTTTACAAAACTTCCCATTGGTTCTGGGATATGAAGTCAGTAGCTTCTTCAAGTTGCCTGACCTTACAGAAGAATATAATCAGAAAGGGGGTGGTAGATTATAGCAGTGATTGTCTAGCGGGGAAAGAGCTGGAGGGTTTATATGTGGAGGTGATGGATGTCCACGGAGGAATATAAGGTCAAATGAAAAGAGGGCATCAGAGGTAAGCTGAGTAAATAGATGTGTAATGGGCAGAGAAAGAAGTGAGTGTAGCTCAGAGGGGTGCGTGTGTGTGTGTGTGTGTGTGCACGTTTGCAATCTGCTATTTCATGACAGTGATCAGATCAGTCCACAGGGGTCAGCTGAGGTCATCTTATCTCCCACACTGACCAGAGATTTATTTTTGGTGATACACAGGCACACACAGGAATGTCTTTACAAAATGTGAAATGTTGTATTACTGTGACACATTTTTTTGAATGTTGTTTTGTTTAGTTGTTGTAGTTTTTGTCTGCAGAGCCGTGGTATCTATTATTGCTCATGCTGCTACAATTCCAAACAAATGACGGCTGCTGCTGCCAGAGGGACGAAGCATAGTTCCTGTACACCAGAGGACTTCTTTAGGAAAGAATTATCTGTCACATGGTGTTTATTAAGGCACTAGAGCAACACTTGAGGTAACTGTATGGGCATTTGGGCTGACTGCAGTTGTGGGCAGTTATGGGGCTCTTGAAAGAATGGCAGTGGCGCTTAGGATGAACCTTTTAAATACAATTACAAAATCACAATTTGTAACAGATTTCTTTCCACTTTGATCACAGATTGCAACCAAGTGCTAATTTCAGAGGCATGAGGTCACACAAGCAAACTGTTTCTACCTTTAATCATGTAAAGCTGGTGTTGTTTAGTGAGTGTGTATTTGGTTTTCAGAGTCACGATAGCTCACGCAGTGTGGCGTGCCTCAGTCCAGTGAGGCTGGAGGTGCAAAGTCTTGTGAAAATCAACAATAGGTGCACCTTCAGGTTTGTATGTAGACGTGGCTATGAAACACAGACAGGAAGAATAATCAAACTTTGACCCGTGTTAAGAAGGCTGCCTCATCCTCAGGGGAGATGTGTCCAGTTAAAGTGAGCAGCTCATTCATCATTCCCGCTGTTATGAGAACCCTCATCCAACACAAGTGCATACGTTGGCTTTTCTCCATTACATTTGCATTCATCATCATTTGATGAGGAAAAACAGACTTTTACTGGAAAGACAAAACATTTTAATGACACAAGGTCTCCGTACACAAACACATACACACCTACAGCCAAACTCTTTCTCGCCAGTTTTTGTCACTGGAGGGAAGTTCACGCTTTAGTGCAGGAACAAAAGGTCATTTCTTTGGTGAAAGATAACACCTAAAAGACTGTGTCTGAGCCATCTGTGAAAACTGACCCACATCAACAAGGTGTGAGATAATGGGTTATAGGGGGCAATCATCTCTGCAGTGGATGGCTATTAGAGAGACTAATAATATAATATTATCCATTAGAGGATTTAACTAATCACTGTCTTTTGCTGCACTGGCTTTATTCAAACGTAATGAAAGAAGAGCTCAAAGAAAACTACATAGGAGATTTTTTTAACAGCAAAGGAAAAAGGAAGATAAAAAGCCTTTCACCTAACGTGACTTGTCTAATCTCCCCACTGTAAGACAGACTGTAATATCTGTCAGTATATTCTGCTCACATTTCCTTAGCAGTGCAGCCTGTAGTTGTGTGAGGTGTGAGTGCGTACAGGGTGGCCCCATTCCTTTCAGTTTTATTCAGTTTAGGAATGTTTCCTTTTCAGGAAATGAAAAATCTCCTTACTTCCTGCCTCAAGAATGTCAGCAACGATCAAAGGGCAGCAGGAGGGTTCACTTTGTGAAGTTTTACTTCAAAATCCTAATCAAACCTGTTTGCACACATACACTAGGTTGTGTGATGATAGACCATCAGGAAGGTGTCCATAGTGCTGCTCCTCCTGTATGCTGCTCACCTCAGGTGTTAGCCTCTGACCTGTGTTGTTGACCAACGTGACAAGGTCATTTTAACCACGTCACCCATCCACTACAGGGTGATGTGATGTCAGGGTTCAGACAGTTTTAAGTCATGCCTGTTAGTTTCTGCCACAGTAAACAGTTACTATACTACATGTGTTTTTTATCAGATCACTCCTTTCATGTGAACTGAGTTCTTTCGTGAGGTTGATATACGGAAAAAGTGACTTTAATGAACACTTGTGCCCATTTGTAGTTGAGGTTTAGAAGAGGTGTTAAACTGAATGGTTGCTTGGTTATGAAATTGCATTGAGGATTTACATCATTTCCATTTATTTATCAAACTGACATTTTAGGGTTTGTTTGTTTTGTAGATTTTTTCTTTTTTATTGTCCATTCAGTACATTATCTTGTGAAGTAAATTACATGAATCTGCTAAAGTAGGCCTAAGATTCTACCACCAGGGTGACTTGTACCCCAGGCAGTATTACTGCAGTTGCCAGGCTCTACTTGGAAAGCTCAATTAACTCAACTACATTCAAATAACTCAGCTAAGAAGTTGAGAAGTTGAAACAATTAACTAAAAGTAATGGTTAAATGATTGAAATAGATAGTTAAAAGTCAAGGAAATAATTAGTGGAAGCTTAAGTTATTGAATAAACTATTGCCAGTGCAAGTCGTAGTAGCACAAATGCAACCAAACTCAAACCAAAACACTGTGTAAAGAAAATATTGTAACAGTAGGCACTTTTATATAATTAAAAGTGTTAAATAACATCCAGTTTTTAATTCATAAGAACATATTTACACATAAAGGATTCTGTCGATGAGGCTGACTGAGCTATGGTAGTGAGGTTGTGTGAGGAACTACCAGCATGCATTGCAGGGGCAGCAGAAGAACATATTTTAGCCACCTAAAAAGGCCCAACTGAAAAAATCAGCATCAGTTTGACGCTATATTCCAAATATTTGGGGTGGGGTGTGCCGACCACCATCTACCCTAAGTCAATGGATAAGTACCTCATAAAACCCCACTTTAAAAGATCCAAACTAACCCCTTAAAACACAGTCTAATTATTTGTGGGAATAAAACATATTCACAATTACTTTATATACTTACTACTATATGAAAGAAATATGTGTCATATATGTTGTTTAGTAGTAGATATATTTAATTAGGGCATGCTCTGATTGTGACAGTTTCTGTTAGTTGATAAACAGGTCAGTTCACTCCGGGTTCTGGTCTTTGCTGTTTTTGTAGTGCGCAGCAGGACCTTCAAAGTTGAGAGGTCACACACTTCAGTGGGCATAGCTAATCCTGTCATCTGGACCTTGGACTGAATTCCTCAGTGATGAAAGGTGTTCAAGCTTCGGTTACTTGTCTGGGTGTCAGTTTATTGCCATTACACAGCATGGCTTTGCAGGGTAGTCTGGATGAAGGAGGCTGAGGAATGGGCTGTTGGCTGTAAAATGTAGTCTCACATATGGTGGAGCAATATTTCAATGTTTTCTATTATTCTCAGGAAACATCTTTCTCAGTTGTTTTCATTTAAAAGTGATCATACCACAGTCTTACCCCATTTACAGGAGCGCCCGTATTTTCATGTTGATGCTGTGCCCTGTACCAACAAAAAGAACTGGTTGCATTTCAGTGTGTTATAGTCCAACAGCTGGACCACAAAGGCTGTCTTTGTAATTATTTTAGTTGTAATAAAGGGTAAAACCAGGGAGAAGATGGAAATATGCTGACTGTGTTTTTCTGTTCCTCTCTAACAGATCGTGAGGACCAATCAATCCTTTGCACGTAAGTACTGCAACTCTATTAACTGTCCTCCTTTCCTCTCCTCTCTTGAGGTCATTTCACTTTTGGTTCTGGTGATAAAGCAGCTTGATGGGCTGGAAAATGAAACCTGTCTCTGGATGAAGATTATATAGCTGCACCTTAATAGGGTTATTTTGTATAAAGGCAGGGTCTCACTTCTTGTCCTCGAAATGTTTATATATGTACCTTACAGTGGAGAACAGTAATAATAAGCATTGCATTGTAAGGAACATAAAATGAGAGCACTTTACACGGATCATCATTTCTGAGTTACCTGGTTTCCTGGTTGTTTTGTCTTTGTGAAGTAACCCTGTCTCCGTCTCCCTTCATGTTTCTCTCACCCTGAGCCAGTTGGCCAGCTCCCATCATCCTGCTGTTTTATTTAAAGACTGGTTTCAAATAGCTTTTTGTGGACGTTGGGTTGTGCAGCAGCTCTGCCCAATACTGAGGGAGTTATGAGTGCGGTTTGGTGCCCTGCCTTCATCTTCTTTGGCAGAGAGTAATTAAGTGTCACACTCTTTCAGTGTGGCTTGATTTGACGTTGCCAGTGAGTAGACAAGAGCTGTTGCATAATCTGTCTTCAATGTCTGAAAACTACACCCCCTGTTGGTAACAGCAGAGCCATTTTATTAGTGTTACCCCACTGTTGAATAAGTAGGCTGGTCACCCAGTTTAGAGAAGCTGCTTCACCACTGTAGAGACATCTATTGATTTCAGTATAAAATACATCCGTTGCAAGTCTATAATAATATTCATTGATTGGCAACAGGTAAAATCTTTTGATGATTCTACTCCAACAACATACCATAAAGTCTTCAACAGTAAATTTAGGCCCATGAAAATGGAAGAAAGAAGTAGAGGAAACTCAGTATGTACAGAAGTTGGCCCTCTCCCAGTTGAATCTCCCAGAACAATCTCTGTCATGCACAGGTATTGCACAAGCATCAACAAAACTTCAATTTCATTCACAGTCTTAATACTGTTTCAGATGCTACTCCTCCTCCAAAGAAAATTAGTCCTAGAGAAACACAGATTTGAAAAAAATCCCAGGTTATCTGACTGGGGTGTGTAGGCCAGCTCACAACCTGTGTTTTTACAGGTCTAACTCTATTCACTCTTAGAATGAAAAAGGCTGCATGATCTTTGCAACAACCACTTTTAATCCAGTTAAAAGGTCACATGCCTATTTAGCACAGCATAGAATTATAAAAGGTCTTGTGTAGTTATGTGGTTTAGCAGTGATGTGTTCAGAATAACATTTGCAGACCCGGGTCTCGTGTGAACAGTCGATTCCAGGTATTTATTTGTGCTCCTGCATTTACTGATGAATAATCTTGTACGAATGATAAGACCTGTGTTAAGCATCCTGTGTTGTGCACAGGACTTGAGGGTGAAGGAAGTCACTGCAGTGATAGTCAGCTGTAAAAATATACTCCGAGCTCACTATCAGCACAAGCCTATGTCTTTATGCTGTATCCCAAAGAACAGAACAGGGTGCAGCCCATGAGACCGAGAACTTGTAGAATCTCTCACTTAGAGTTAAAAATACTGTTGACCCTCTAATGTGTGCGGTGTGTTTGATCGCTCAATCGAAAGAAGATGGCAGGAGATACAGAGTGTTGACAACGTGAGGGAGCCTGTATCTCTGCATGTTCACATCTATAAGAAAAAAGGATAAGATGTGGGAAATTCAGTGAGTGGTTATTTCCATGAGAAATATTGCTCCTGTAAAGCTATGAAGACATCAAGCCAAACTGGGATGTTTAACTAACTTGACCTGTATTGCTATGTCTGTATCCTGTGCATGAGGACCCATCGAATTCTAGTGCAGCAGCTAAAACTGCAGTGCTCTACATGCAGCAGCGCTAATAGCCAGCTAGACTAAAGCCACTGGTATGTAGATAGATGTAGTGTTGCTGGCCTGGTTCCTGTGTTGGCCCTGGTTTTCGGGGCTCTGGGTCCTGACTGTGGGAGCTGTGGATGACTCTGCCTGAACACAGCTATCATTAGGGACGGCCCAAAAGCCTGGAAACTTTGGAGACTGGCCCACCAAACCACAGGGTTCTTCAGTAAAAGAGACTGACCGACGAATGGATGGATTTAGAAAACAACAGATGATGGTCGTTCACTCTCTCCTCTCTTAATTTATTCTTTGTTTGGGGTACATCCAATCACCCTTGACCACCATAATGAGCAAGATTTATTTTGGTTAGGGGTTTACTTTGTTTTGTCTGTACCTTGCTAAGTTGTGGACAGCTACACGTATTATTTTCTGTATTGTGGCTATGCCTCACAACTTAAACCCTGTAATTCATGATTGCAAGCCAAGACTGTTGTAATTATTTGTTGGAAGTGATGAGAAAGGCAGAAACAAAAAGTGTGTGTTTATTCTCCTTCGCTCATTCTTCATTCAGTCACCGTTTTGCTCCCTCTGTCTGTCCATGTGTATCTCCATGCTGACTACCCCCTTTATTTTCAGAGGTGAATCAGGCGCTGGCAAGACCGAGAACACGAAGAAGGTCATCCAGTACCTGGCCCACGTTGCCTCCTCACACAAAGGACGCAAAGACCACAACATTCCTGTGAGAGCCCCACTGCCTACATTTTTCTCTATCTGTTTTTCTTCTTCTCTCTTTTCCACTCCTCTCAAATACATCCTATTTGAACCATCCTTGCTGATAGTGCTTCGTTACACCTTTTAAATTTAAAAATTGAATGGCCATGTTGGTATTTGTGAATTACCTCAGCACATCATTATTGTGATAAACGAATAGTTCAACATTTTGGGTAACAGGCTTTATTCTCTTTTTAATTGGGGAGTTAATGGCAGTGCAAAGATCAATACCACTCTCTCTCTTTCTCTTTCTCTCTCTCTCTCTCTGTTAAATATAAGGCTACAGCCAGCGTCCGCTTAGCTTAGCACAAAGACCGCAAACAGCCAGCCTGGCTCTGCCCAACTGTAACAAAATCCACCTAACAACACCTCTAAAGCTCAGTAATTAACAGAGAACAGAACTTCCTGTGCACAGCCAATAGTAGCAATCAGCTGCTGGTAGGTTGCAGGAACATCTTAGGAACGAACAATGTGACGACTGACGACTTTAATGTGACCAACGAACAACACATTTTGCGAAACGTTAAAGTCAGCATTAAAGTCATTTCAGTGCGCAGTGCTTAGTAATTAACACTTTGTATCTCATTTGTTTGTCTGTACATAAACCAGTTTCTTGGGGCCAGTAACCTCCTGGAGTTTCCAGTGGTTGCCTAGCAACTGCTCAGAGCCAAGAAATAGTCCAGCAGAGCACATTACATAAATCATTTCACACTTTGCATGGATTTAATGGACATGATATAATGTGACCTTAGAGGTGCTGGTAGGTGGATTTTGTTTGGACAGAGCTAGGCTAGCTGTTTCCAGTCATTGTGTTATGCTAAGCTAAGCTAACCAGTTGAAGAAGAAGAAGAAGATAATGATATAGCCTACTTTATTAATCCCCTAGGGGAAATGGTTCTTTTCACTCTTTTTTTAATGTGTAACACACACACACACACACAGGGCTGAGGAATACACGAGGTCACATTTCATAGCCAGCTTCGGTGGACAATGCAAATGGGATAGAGCGATGTGTGAGTGGATGGGGCTGCAACGTGTGTAGGGGGGTTGAGGGTTAGGGTGCCTTGCAAACAGGGGCACCTCTACGGGCAAGAGCACAGGGAGGTGGAAGGTACTGGACCTCTCCAGCTACCACTCCAACTCGATATTGTGTGAGGTCTGTGGGACTTGAACCAGCAACCCTCCGGTTCCCAAGCCAAGTCCCTACACACTGAGCTGGCTGTAGTCCTCATACCTTACAGACACGAGAATGACATCTAACTCTCCGACCAAAAAGCGAATAAGCCTTTTTCTCAAAATGTCAAATTTCTATTAATGAACTGCAATGTTACCCTGTTCTAGTCAAAATTAAAGTGCATAGGTTAGTTTTGATATTCAGCTAATAACAAGTTGTGTATTAATCCACAGCTAACCTATTAGATTTTAATATAGCTGACTGATCACTGCTCCTGCTTCACGCCATCCAGTGCCATTCTGCAAGAGTATTTCCCTTCCTTGGACTAAATGTGTACTGGTGTTCTGTTTCCTGTGGCTTGTGTCTGACATAAGCGCTTCAGGTTTTAACACTTACATTTGTTTATCCATAACAAACAGCCCGAATCTCCCAAAGCATTCAAGCTCCAGGCAAGTGTATCTCCCGCTTTCTCAAAAAAAGAGTGTGTGGTCCTTTTGATGTTTGTGTGTAAGTGCATGCACCTCTCTCTAAATCTCTGCCGCTTCCATAATGATGTTGACAGACTAATCTAAGCTTCTCTCTTTATGAGGAATTTGTTTGTGCTGGCTCAGTCTTCTCACATGATTATTTGAAGCCCAGTGAATCTGCCATTAAACCAGCAGGCTCATCATACTAAAACGCTTTGTTTTATCAGTTGGTTCTGGTTTATTAGAACAGTTAGAAATTGAGATGTTTTATTAAAAACACATGTCAGTCAAATGCAAAAAAAAAAAAAAAGAAGTGATTAAACCTGTGATTAAAACCGTTCACATTAAATCCTAGTCAGTGAACTGACAGTGTAGCCTTTCTGTGTAGGTTCATCAGTCCTCTGTTCCTGGGGGTTACGTGGCGTTTAGTAAGAGCTCATGAACAGTGAAATCAGACCACAGCCGCACTAAACATCTCTCCTCAATTATGTTATGCCAAGATTCATCCTTTACATTTTGGGAAAGTAAATAGATGATCCTACCTGCCCAGGTGTAAAAAGAAGATATAAAAGATGATGAAACATGATTGCAATTGATTGAACCTTTAATATATTCATGCATGTTTTCCATTGCTGATGTACTCTAGATGCATGTCTGTAGTTTCAGTTAATAATTCATTGGCCTATTCTTGAGCCTGTGGCCTGGCTATGATAATATTATTCCAGCGACCAACTGTGTGGCTTTTGCTGCTCGGTCGACAAACAAACACAGGGGATGTTTCCATGTGGGTGTTGTAGCCTCACCTGTATTCTCAGATTGTAATCTACAATGTTATGTCCCACAAGTAACACAAATGAGACTCTGCTGACACAGTACTGAATTTGCTCCAACTCCATTGTCTGTCTCCTGTGTCCTCTACAAAACTTGATATTTTCTGGCTCACCTCTTCCCTGCTTGATTTATCCGGTAGCTATTTTTCTTTCTCCCCCAAACCAATACCTGATGTTTCTGTGTCCTCTGTAAATCTAATAACTATAGAAGCAGAGTCTCAGCTGAAACCTATAACCCGCAGCTTTGAGCACACACAATCCGGCTGAATGCCTGTTTAATATGCTGCGTTTCAGTAGCTGAGAGCGAGTAGCTGTAATTCAGGGCCTCAGTGCTCCCCTGCCAGAGTACACCATCCACTCTGACCTCCTTAATGCTGCTTTCCTTCTGCAATGCATTACGGCTACCTCTGAGCACAGGCCAGAGGAATGTAGAACAAGGGATTGAGGGAGAGCAAAGATATAGTGGAGGAGAGAGGTTTGGAAGGGGGTGAAAAGGGGGGAGGTGAAGAAGTGGAGAAAAGGTAAAGCAGACCAGAAGGGACCAAACTTTCATATTTCTGTCATAAGGAATGCCTCTTTATTCTTTAGTTATACAGGGATAGGTGTACTGGTTTATGTGTTCTATGTTATTCAGAGCCTGAAAAGTCTCTCTGATGCACTCTGCTCTGTTTCTGCTAAGGATTTTAAATGTCCTCTCTCTCTTTCCATCAGTCTCTTTTCTTGCTTTCTGTTTAACAACATTTAAGTAATCTCTTAATGGCCTACAGCATCAGCCAGTCAGGCAGCAAGTCAGAGTTCACGCATTTAAGAATCCAGAGGAGGATCCTGGAGTCAGATCAAGGCTAGATCTGATCTACTGGAGGGGCTATTTCTGTACTGTCAGTGCCCTGGATAGAGGAGAGTGTGCCATGAGTAGAGGAACTGGAGGTTTCAAGGGCTGTAGGGAATGTCCCAACCGCCTATCAACCCAGGTTTTGAGATTTGGGAGGAAGCCATCATTACCATCGTGGTGATACAGTCTTTGGATATATAGGGTATATCATCACAACCACAGGAATGTGCAGGCCCGGAAGAAGGCTCTCACTCATCAACCTAAAGTAACCACTCACTGTAGGGCATGTGTCGAAACACACTCGCTATATTGCCCTTGTGGTTTCACGAGTTCCGTCAAACTATTTGGTTGCCTTGGCCTGTTAAACTTGTAGAGTTCCCCTGACAAAAATCACATTGTACTGCAGTTGACTAAAGTGAAGCCAACTGAGCCACAATGGATTGCTGACTGTCTGAAAGACTGGTTAAACATATTACTTAGACTACATTTTGCTCTAGTTTGTCTGTTAGGAAGAATTGATTTTGCCTCGCCAGCTTGTGTATGTTTTGGCAGATACAGAAAAATGTAATAAACAGTCATAAAAGATTCATTATGTGGTGCCAGGCATTGGAAATGTTGACAGCTAGCTGGCTTCTTACCTCTCTACCTCTCTTTCTCCACAGGGTGAGTTGGAACGCCAGCTCCTGCAAGCCAACCCCATCCTTGAATCTTTTGGCAATGCCAAGACAGTGAAAAATGACAACTCATCTCGCTTTGTGAGTTTATGCTTCCTGTTTAACGGTCATTCTCTTGATTTAAACATATGTGCAGACAGTATCATGAAGGGAAACAGATTTACTTAAGCTCCACGTTGACTATCAGTGCAGTATACATTTGCACACACATGCTTCCATTCCCAACTTGCTGTATAAAGACAGTATTTCTTCATGTTTATCCCTACTCTAGGTCTTAAATATATTCACTCTATGGAAGGATTCTCAAAGTTAGCGATGTAAAAAAAGATAAAGTGATGTATTATTAAATGTTTGGATTCATGTAGCTTTAATATTTTACCTTTTAACTCTTGAACTAAACTGATTTTCCTATGTTTGGGATTAAAAACAAACTGCTAAATGGTATATATACATATACATATGAGATAATTGATACCACTCTCATTTCTGTACCGTCAATATGAAGCCCATCTAACTCTCTGTCAGGGAGCTATTATGCATTTCCCAAAATGCTAAACTTGGGCCTTTTTAATTTAAATATGTTACTTTAGAATATAAAACAACAACTTCATAGGTCTTGTTTCATAAGTCTTTGTTCTCTAATTGTTGTAAAGCGGACTGATGCTGCACTTGTAATATTTTGTTATCTCTGATCTGGAAGTGATGAGTTACAGGCATCACAACAATCCTTGCTCTAAGCATTTTAAATTGTTGTATGACTAAGTTAACCATGTGGCTAAGATTAACTACCATGGTGTTCAGACCTCATGAATCACAGGCTGTCTCAGATGGGCACACATATTCACACACACATTCACCGTCAGGAAACCACAGACATGCCTGAGATTCTTTCTGACCTGTTAACCTGGCTTTCCCTAATATAGGCATTCTGCTCTCCACTGTGTCTCTGTCATCAGCAAGAGTCCACAAAGTGGTATTTAAAATCCAACGGTGCCCGAAGGGAGAGGAAATATGTGACAGATGCACTCACACGCACAAACAGATACAGTACAGTACACACTGACATCATAGGCTTTTTTAAATTAGCCTGTGAAGTTTCAACAAGTTCAACAACTGTTTTTTTAACATAAATATGCGTCTTGTTTCCTGCAGGGGAAGTTCATCAGAATCAACTTTGACGTCACAGGCTACATTGTTGGGGCCAATATTGAAACTTGTATCCTCATTATTGGGACTGACTGGAGGAGCAGAAGGTCAAAGGATTGTTTCAAACACAATAAAGGGATGCTAAAAGGCCGGGTACACATTGAGTTTAGAGCTGAAAGCAGTGGTTAGGCTTCACGACTCACTACGGCTTATGTTTAACCGCAAGAATGCCATTCCCATTCTGCATATTCCCAAGATGAAGCTAGAAGGCACTGGGCTCTCAAGAAGTTTTTATTGTTATGCTTCATTTTTATTCAAGTTTATTTGTGCCTGGTGAGGAAAATGAGGGATAAGGCTCCTCAGGATAATATTTCTTTGTTGCAACACTTGTAGAAAGAATAAAGATTTCATTCCCCTGTGATTTCTCGGATTCATCTAAAATCCATGATTTCTTGGAAGATTTATTGGTTGTGTACTTTATTAGAGTTTTTCCTCATAAGCAGAATGTCACAACAATGTGGTTATTTTATTCTATTATTAACTTCAGCAATATTCATTATATTTTCTGACTTTCATGTTGTTATTTCCTGGTCAGTCCTTAACGTTTGCTCTCAGACCTTCTGGAAAAGTCGAGGGCCATCAGACAGGCCAAAGATGAGAGGACCTTCCACATTTTCTACCGCCTGCTGGCAGGGGCCGGAGAGCATCTCCGAAGTGAGTGTGTGACAACTGCTATAAGGAACAGAAGTATCAGAGCAGCAACAGTGCATGTTTGTGCTAGTTTGCTTCAGTCGAGGAACAGAGCTTAATAAATAAAAAAGCTGGTTTGAATTAGCAACGGCCAACTAATCTTTTTCTCTCGTTAACTTTTAATTTAGCTTGTTAGTACATTGTTTCATGATGATGCAGAACGTGTTCAGACATTTCAAGTCAACACTTTACAGCATGTTTCTCTAATGAAATAGTGGATTTAAAAGGTCACTGGATCTCTCCCTCACTTATCCACTTATACTGAATTGTCAAAATAGAACACATACCTCATTGCTATCTGAGCATTTTCTGACCATTAAACTTTTAAGTCATTTAAAGTGTTACTTGCACTATGCACTGAAAAAAACCCAACATGCAACACAGCACATTAAGAAGAAAAACAAAGCGCAAAATTACCATTAAAATAATAATTTTTAAATAACAATCTTTAAAAACCATCTTTCCTTCTCCAGCGGACCTGCTCCTCGAAGGCTTTAACAACTACCGTTTCCTGTCAAATGGTAACATTCCCATCCCTGGCCAGCAGGACAAGGATAATTTCCAGGAGACATTGGATGCCATGCACATCATGAGCTTCTCCCATGATGAGATTGTCTGTGAGTAGTACAGTACTTCCAGATGTGCTCTGAAACATAGGTTGTTCTTATTCTCCTACATTCCTATTTTTCCTTTCTTACTCCGCCGAGGCATTATTACCCACCCTGGGGATCAATAAAGTGTTATGTCATTCTTGCCAGGCATGTTGAAGGTGGTCTCTGCAGTGCTACAGTTTGGCAACATTATCTTCAAGAAGGAGAGAAACACTGATCAGGCCTCCATGCCCGAAAACACAGGTAAAAATAAGACACTAGCGAGGAGTAGTGTCAGTCATGATTCATGAAACTGTGACACTCGCCACATGCTTTATTAGAAACATGATTACACTGTTGTTAGATTGTGTCTCTTGATATTGGAATGCTTGTAATGTCTGGATCATGTCAGCACCACCAGATGCATTACCCTACAGTCTAGACTATTCTGTAGTCACATAACTCTCAGTGTAAGAAAGAAAAAATATTATATAGAGACCAGAATTCCCCCTGCACAGCCAGTAGTAGCAATCAGGAGCTGGTAGGTCCCAAGAACATCTCTCAGGCGACGATGAATCTAAAACGAATCTATAATATATAATATAGTTAGTTTTAGTAAGTCTGCTGTCTCTGGGTCAGACCAATTAAACATACTTTTCTTAATTCCTTAAATTTTTTATCTTTTTGATTTAATTATTTGAACATAGCATCAAGCAAAAATTTGATTTTGAAAGGAGTTAAAAAAAACACAAATCTGAAGCCATATATGTGAACCAGTGTGAAGTCTATATTTGTATCAGTGAGTTTCATGCTTCCTGCTTCCTCCCAGTGGCACAGAAGCTCTGCCACCTGCTTGGAATGAATGTTATGGAGTTCACCAGAGCTATCCTCACCCCGAGAATCAAAGTTGGACGGGACTACGTACAGAAGGCACAGACCAAAGAACAGGTAAGGTGCCGTCTAACCCTATCAGTGAGGATTATCTTTGCACTCCATAGTTATATTATTTAACTGTTAAATAGATGTTAAATGTTAAACATAAACATGGAAACGTTGTTTTTTCTGCTCTTTGATTTCTGTTTATTACACCTCACTTGTGCAAAGTCATGGGTCCTAAACATTGTCGTCATGGTTTGTCCTTACTGTAGCCCATGATCTGACGGCATACCATGATAAATCACTGCAAACCAGCAGCAACACAAAGTTTATTTTCTAATATTTGCACTTGTGGTTCAGTGGACTATGTATTATTACTAGTGTCTTCAATAGTTACTCTGTTTTTTCCACAGGCTGACTTTGCTGTTGAAGCCCTGGCCAAGGCAACATATGAGCGGCTGTTCCGCTGGCTGGTCCACCGCATCAACAAGGCCCTAGACCGAACCAAACGCCAGGGAGCGTCTTTCATTGGCATCCTGGATATCGCTGGCTTTGAGATCTTTGAGGTGCTGATTGTGGTTGTTAAATATGAACAAACTAATCTCCAAAAAACACAAACTACCTTCTAGACATTGTAGTTGTGTTTTTTTTAAGAGACTAACTAACAAACGTGACTTCTGCTTCCTCTCAGCTGAACTCATTTGAGCAGCTGTGCATCAACTACACCAACGAGAAACTGCAGCAGCTCTTCAACCACACCATGTTCATCCTGGAGCAGGAGGAGTACCAGAGGGAGGGAATTGAGTGGAGCTTCATCGACTTCGGCCTGGACCTGCAGCCCTGCATCGACCTCATTGAGAGGCCGGTCAGTGTTCTCTGTCTTCTGTGTGTGACTGTATGTGTCTGCTGCTGCATATATATGTGTTAAACGAATTATGTCTCAACAGACTAACCCCCCTGGTATCCTCGCTCTGCTGGATGAGGAGTGCTGGTTTCCCAAGGCCACCGACAAGACCTTTATAGACAAGGTGCTTCAGGAGCAGGGAACACACACCAAGTTTCAGAAGCCGCGTCAGCTCAAGGACAAAGCTGACTTCTGCATCATTCACTACGCAGGGAAGGTATGTATTTCAGGCCCATTAAGGTGTCTTGCATTCTGACTGCTCTCTTGGGAATGGTAGCCAGTGTGACCTACTACTTAGGTATGCTGCTATTTTTAGAAGGCAGCCCTTAATAACAGGCAATATGCGTTTTGTAAACCATTATTCATGTCCCCTTTTATAGCCTCAGATTAATCCATGTGTGTGTTTTCCTTAAGTAACAACTCTCGGAGGCACAGACTTTGCTCCTCCGAAGGCGCCGTTAACCAGGTCATTGCCTGAAAACAATAGCCTAGTTGTCGTACTGCTGCTGTAGAAAACCCACATCTGGTTCCCATTGGTGTGAGATTGGGTCTTGGGTGCCTGGTGGTTACATAACAAAACATTTTCAGGCTTCCACTTTGTGTGGTGGTCTGCCATCTGTAAAGAGAAAACGATACACCGCAACATTCCAGAGAGGATGCTTGTCAGTCGCAGCATGAAAGCTGATATTCCCAGAGTGATAGTTTAATTAGGTTTACCTGTCTCTTTGTCCCCGCTTGCACATGTGTGTATGAACACAGTGAAGAGCGTCAGTCTATCGTGTCTAAACATCAGTCCTGGACCTGAGCCTTACTATGACAAACAGGTGAAAACCTCAGATTCATCCAGTATTTGATACGGGGAACAACATTAAATCTGAACTTGATTAAATAAATCCTGCATGACAGAGTGATACTGAAGAGGAAAATAAGAGCAAACACTGGTAGTTTGCTTTTCCAGGAATCTGATGAAACCCATATGGAGATCGTACATTCCTCATCTCACGTTGCCAACCATGTCAATTCCTTAATATTTTCTGCTCTAATCTAACACTCTTCATATTATGTTAGACATTTGGAAAACACATACAAGTAAAAGTCATCATCATCTTACAGAGACTAATCTCATCAACAAATTATGGCGCTATAAGACCTGACTGTGTTGTCAGTGTTGACTTTCTGAACTTTCTACCACTCGTATGGTTCCACGTAGTACATACAGCACATCTGGTACTGCCTGTAAGATAAAACAACTGAGTGGTGTTTGGCACTATTAGAGCTGTCACTTAAGACAGAATACACAGACCGCTGCAGACAGGTGAAGCAACAGACCAGCGGAAATTAATCACAGACTGGAAGCCAGTCCTCTCAAAGTGTATTTTTAAAGCATTATTTTCTTTTACACTGTTAACACTGGGGTATACCAGTAATAAAATGAAAATGATTAGATGACATTCATAAATGAAATTTGATTGGATGCTGAGTTGTTTTGCTGTCAGGATGCCAAACCTTGTGTAACCAAGTTAAAACAGAGGTGTTTGGTCATAGTTGGTATAATACATTACACTTTAACCTGTTTGAGATTTAAGTGCAGGTCACTGATTTGTAGTAGAACATTTTGTTGTCTAAAGAGGTATCACTGTGTTTCTAGGTGGACTATAAAGCCGATGAATGGCTTATGAAGAACATGGATCCCCTGAATGACAACGTGGCCACGCTGCTGCATCAGTCAACTGACAAGTTTGTGGCTGAGCTCTGGAAAGACGGTGGGTCTCTTAATATTTTCTTTTACTGTGTAGAAGCATCATCAAGCTGCAAATTGTACAAAAGTGTATTGATATACAATTTATTCTACTGTACAGGCAAACCATACCTATTGTGGAGTGAACAATTGAGACACAAAAACATTATTTTTTTGTCCATTTTTTGTTGATTGTTTTATATGAATAATGTCCCTTTTGACTGAAATATCTCAACAAGTAACGGATAGATTGCTTGAAATTTTCTACAGACATTCATGGTTTCCAAATGATGTGTCCTAATGACTTTGGTGATCCCATCACTTGAACTCTAGCGCCACCTCGAGGTTCACATTTGTGGCATTGAGTGAAACGTCTTGACAGCTATCTTGTCATCAAATTTGGTACAGATATTCATGTTCCCCTCAGGATGAGCTGTAACAATTTTGGTGATGCTTAACTTTTTATCTACAGTGGTGCACCAGGTCAAAATGTTAATTTGTCCAATACTTAGTTTTATGACCAAGTACCTGCAAAACTAATGACATTCCCATCAGCCTCAGCTTTACTTTGTGTTAAGTGCTAACTAGCAAATGTTAGCATTGTAACATGTTAATCTACAATAGTGAATATGGTAAATATTATACCTGCTACACAGCAGCTTGCTAACATTGCCATTGTGAGCATGTTAGCAAGCTCAAGTTAGCATTTAGTTCAAGAGAGCTGTTTCTAAATGCAGCCTCATAGAGCTGTTAGCATGGCTGTAGATCCTGTCTAAAGTTTATTATAAACAACTGAATCTCATATTTATTGAAAAGGGGAACTACATTCTCTCGTCTCTTACCCTTGCTGTCTGAGTTTGAATCGTCAGTGTGCTTCATGATTTCTCTAATGTGGGATGAGTTTTGCCAGCAAAAATATGAAGTGTAAGCGAGGTAAACCACAGCCAGGAAACTCTTCTCTTAGAGCTGTGTGAGGTATTTATTGCTTGTCCTTTATTTTCTCCCCCAGCAAGTACACTGTTAATATTTCAATCAAATGGGAACCATGGCCTTCATAATTATTATTTTAATTTGACATTTGTTTTTAACGGAATCACAGACAGGTCAGATGGAAAGCAGAATGGTTATATAACACTTTCTGTACTAATCTTTCTCCTGAATAAATGTTTAGCTATGATAACCTATGATAAGCTTTGAATAATAACAAGGCTTTGATAATATGCATGTACTGTAGTTGTACAGTGACCAAACTGACACTCTTCAGTCCAACAGCTAATCGATGCTTGTGAAAGTTTGTATGTATGCGGTTGTATGAATGATGGGTGTGTGTGTTTGCATGTCTACTTTTTTTCTCTCTCTCACTCTCCTGTCTTCTTTCTTTGTCCGTGTCTCTGTTGCTATAGACATACAGACGTTTCAGAGAGCCTCTTTCTATGACAATGTGTCTGGGCTCCATGAAGCTCCAGGTGAATGATAGTAACACTTAACCTTCGGGTACCACTGACTTCTCCTCATCCTCCAAACTGAAGGGATCATTGGTTCCCTGTCCTGTCCTGGCTGCACTGTGCGCCCCTCTAAAAAACAAACCCTCTGGCTTTGCATGGCTGTACTCCTGTTAAAACCTCTAATACTAAAACATTTCATTCTTCCATGCTTACCAGGCTTACTGTCATTGTAATTATTCCAACAACTATTGCTTGAATGATAAGCCAGGTAAGGCATTTCTTTTTGTAAAAAAGAGTTTTGTTTTCTGGTACAAGGAGAATTCACACAACAGAAAACAGATTGTCAAAAGGCTGAAAATCTTAGACAGGAAATATTATAATTGAACATTTGTCTGGTCAGATGGATGAATTCTGAAACTGCTTTTAGGCCATGGTACATCTTTGTTAACTAAATGGGGTACAATAATGAAAGGAAAGACTTAGATAAGGTGTCACTATGCCTAAAAAGGGCAAATATCACCTATCCACTCAATAAATATTTAGCCAATGCAAAGTTGCGATGATTAGCAGTCCACTGAGTTTACTGATATACAGCTAAGGCCAGGCAGAAAGTCAATTATTTAAACAAAATTGGATTGAATTGATTCAAGTTTCTGCTTACATATATATGTTCTGAATGAATGGAATATCTGAGCTTAAACAGTATTTGTTTGTCTTTGATTTGAGCACAGGTTATCTAGTTAATGAAAAATGTTGTCATTTTAGTGTGTAGTCCTTTTATAAGCTTTTATTTATTAGCAATATGATTATAAAAGGATATGATGCGATTCTGTAATATAAGTATTTCTTTTAGTGCATTTTTAAATGATCTGCACTGCTGTGTCATTTTTACCTCTGACCATATTTATATTTGGATTACAGAATGTTTGTACTGAACCGATATATGATCTAATAAGAAAAGTACAAAGGAAGATGTTTAAAGGTTCCCTGTGGAGTTTTTGACGTCTAGTAGAACTGGGGAGCTTCGTGGTAACACTCCACAATACACAGTAGTGCACCAACAAAGACAGCAAAGAAAAAGACTGCAAGCTAGTAAACATGGATGTAAACAATTTCGCATTTGAAATACTTAAAAAATCTTTTATGTGTAAGGAAATGCACATTTGTTAGAGCTCAAAGATACACTGTTGTTTGGGTGAATAATTCTCAATGTAAAATTAACTTGTTTTGTTTAGAAGAAAACTCCACAGGGCTCCTGTAAGTTTATTTCTCTTTACATTTTGCCTTTATTATTGTTAGATAGTTGGTAGTTGAGTGGCAGAATGATATTAAAATTCAGGAGTGATGTGAAAAGGGTCTACTGGACCACCGAACTGCCCCTAAAGCAGGAAGTCATTCATTTTTCAATGTGGCCAAAAATAAAGACATTTTTGATTTACATGCACATTTGTACTTAATAAGAAGGAAATAAGTCAAATGAATAATCAAACTAATTGCTATATATTAAAATTCCTTTAGATTTAATCCACTGGTTGATATGAAATAGCCTGTTAGCAATAATTTATGTTTACTCCTGTGTCCTGGCTGGGTTAAGTACTCTACTGTTGTAGTGGAATTAGGTAGATCTTGCTTTGAAGTCATGTTTGAATGAAGGATTGTACAGCAGTGGAGCAGATCTGTATGTTATGTTGTCTATAATATCAAACCAGCTAATGGTCTCTGGCCATAGCGGGTGTGACGCCATTGTCTGTCTTCATGCTTTATCGCAAAATTAGAAAAGAGCAAATCCTGCTCAGTTAAACCCCTCAGCCTTTATTGGCAACATTTCCTGCTGAATATCTATAATATATAAGTATAATACTAGATTTTACCACCAATAAAAGACTTAATAGTCATTTTGTTGGCTTTTCTCTTTTCTACATTCATGTAAATAGCACAGCACTGTACTTAGATGTACATTTATCAGTAAAACCAGCATCACAAAGCCACATCAGTTACCCATGTATCCTTGCATTTATACAGTTATCTTTCTCTTTCTCTTCATCTCATCCTTCGTCACCAGTCGACCGAATCGTGGGTCTGGACCAGGTTGCCGGCATGAATGAGACAGCGTTTGGTGCCGCCTACAAGACCAAGAAGGGCATGTTCCGCACTGTGGGACAACTGTACAAGGAGCAGTTATCTAAGTTGATGGCCACACTGAGGAACACCAATCCCAACTTTGTCCGCTGCATCATCCCGAACCACGAGAAGAGGGTGAGTGTTAAGATCTGTTGATGTAGCAAGGCTAGAGTTTAGCTTTCAAATGCACATTCTAGTTCACTGTATCTAACTATCACTATACAGCAATATATTCTGGGGGTGGGTTTTGATGAGATGCACTTGTATTGTATATGACACACTGCAGTGTTAGTCACAGATGTTAGTTAAAGCCAAATTAAAATACAGCAAGTTCAATTTATTTATACAGAACCTTTACCCATACATCAACATTTTCCTCTTCTTCTTCTCTTTTTTGTTCTGCCTCCTCCCCCAGGCTGGTAAACTGGACCCCCACCTGGTACTGGACCAGCTGAGGTGCAATGGTGTGCTTGAGGGGATTCGTATCTGTAGACAGGGCTTCCCTAACCGCATCGTCTTCCAGGAGTTCAGACAGAGGTAATGTAATGTCAACTTAACTAGTATGATATAACACCATGACATCAATTCTATAAAATAAAAGTACATTATTGCAACTAGTAGATAAACACAATTGTCCTAAACAGATAAATATTACAGAGATAGTGTATAAAAGTGTTTCTTAGCCATTGTAAGAGCTTCAATTTAAGATTATCCTAGTGACTCTCTGTCCCCATAATGCACTACTCTCTGCTCTGTCTTCAGGTATGAGATCCTCACCCCTAACGCCATCCCCAAGGGCTTCATGGATGGCAAACAGGCCTGTGAGAGAATGGTGAGGACTTGGGTCTCAGTCAAATGAAATCATTTCAATTGCTGCCTTAGAGCTCATTTCAGTGTCTCTCCCTGTTTTTGGTAGATTAAAGCCCTGGAGCTGGACGGCAACCTGTTCCGTATCGGCCAGAGTAAGATCTTCTTCAGGGCCGGAGTCCTGGCCCACTTGGAGGAGGAGAGGGACCTAAAGATCACTGACATCATAATTTACTTCCAGGCCGTGTGTCGAGGATATCTGGCACGCAAGTAAGCATTGCTCTACTGCTGCTGTCTGCATTTGAGATCCACTCAATGCCCAACTGTTATATCTATATATTTTATCACAAAAAAAGTTGATTTTACTGTTGTCTCACTCAGCCTTTGTTCTCATACTTCTTCATCAGGGCCTTTGCTAAGAAGCAGCAGCAGCTCAGTGCTCTGAAGGTCCTCCAGAGGAACTGCGCTGCCTACTTGAAGCTGCGTCACTGGCAGTGGTGGAGACTCTTCACCAAGGTGTGAAATGTTTGCATCTTTGTTGTCAAGGGAGTTTGTGCAACTGACCATGTGTGTTTGCCTCTAGAGGTCACTAATCTCTTTGTAACTGGTCAGTAGAGATCATCCTTCATCTGTACCTGCAGGTGAAGCCTCTGCTGCAAGTGACCAGGCAAGAGGAAGAGATGCAGGCTAAAGACGAGGAGCTGGTCAAGGTGAAGGAGAAGCAGACCAAGGTGGAGGGAGAGCTGGTGGAGATGGAGAGAAAACACCAGCAGGTCAGCAATACTCTGCAGCGTTATTACCAAATTATTAAAAATTGTCTTGATTTTTTTGGGGGATGTATAATTGAAGGTTTTAACGTTCTGTATGTGTAGTTAATGGAGGAGAAGAATATCCTGGCTGAGCAGCTGCAGGCAGAGACAGAGCTGTTCGCAGAGGCTGAGGAGATGAGAGCTCGCCTGGCTTCCAAAAAGCAAGAGCTGGAGGAGATCCTTCATGACCTGGAGTCCAGGCTGGAGGAAGAAGAAGAGAGAACCCAGGGCATGCAGAACGAGAAAAAGAAGATGCAGGCCCATATCCAGGTGTGTCCTCTGGGATGTGGAAGTACTCATGCTACATCTATGTACTGGTTACTGAGAAAGCAATTTTTGCACTTATTATATTTAAAAATATTGTTAAATATTTAAAATTATGTTAATTGTGTTTGCCACTGTGATTAAATACTTGTGTGTGTAGGACCTGGAAGAACAGTTGGATGAGGAGGAGGCTGGAAGGCAGAAGCTGCAGCTGGAGAAAGTGACGGCTGAGGCCAAAATTAAGAAATATGAAGAGGACATTTTGCTACTAGAAGACCAGAACTCCAAGTTCCTCAAGGTGAGAGAGACAACTCTGAATGTCTATATTCAAGCTAAGGGTTTTGTGATGGACAGAGGTATTGTATTGAAATGTGAAGGTTGGTTTTAAATAGGAGATGGATGGTCTTGCAGTCTCTGAGAAGTGTTTCCCTTTTACTGCACAGCATAAGAACATCCAGCCAAAGATCATTCAGATCATTAAGATATGTTGATGGTGAGTTGAGAGGCTAGCTGTGAGCTAACATGCCTGTATCTCTTTCTTTTAGGAAAAGAAGCTGATGGAGGACCGAATCAATGAGGTGACCTCAGTGCTAGCTGAAGAGGAAGAAAAGGCCAAGAACCTGAGCAAGGTCAAGAACAAGCAGGAGATGATGATAGCCGACCTGGAGGGTAAAGCAGTGAAATGAATGTGACAGAATGCAGTGAATAGTAAAGTGGATCCAGTAACATGTAGAATTTCTAGAATTAATAGAGTTCAGCATTATTCAAACATCTATCCTCTCTTTTCTAATTTAGAGAGACTAAAGAAAGAAGAGAAGACCCGTCAGGAGCTAGAGAAGGCTAAGAGGAAGCTGGATGGGGAGACGACCGACTTCCAAGACCAGATAGGCGAGCTACAAGCCCAGACAGAGGAGCTGAAAACTCAGCTGAGCAAGAAGGAAGAGGAGCAGCAGATGATGCAGACTAGGTAGGTAGAAAGAAACTGGGACCACCATAGAGGAAAGTGGAAACACCACATCTCATTGGTGAAATCAGTTCACCAACAAAGTGTTGCATAACTTTGTTTGAGCTAAATATGGCAGTTAGAGCTTTAATGTTGAGTCACTAAGGTTCTCCTTCATGATGTGAGTCAGTCTGAGCTCAGGGCTACATAGCTGTACAGAGCGGTCATCACACTAAACACTGCTGCAAGATCAATTCACACCTGCCATTTTATATGCTGCATTTTATTATACTGACAGCACTCCATACAAGTATACAGCAGTGATCTTATCATCTTGTAAAAAAACAAAAATAACTTATTTTAATTATTGTTGCGCTTCCATCTGACATGCTGCCTGTATTCATCCACTGATTCTCACTGCATTGGAATGTACTTGTGATGTGTGTTGGTATCATTTCGTATGCATCTAATTTGTCTGGTATTAATGTGCATCTGTAAGTGTGAGCATACAGCTCTTTTAATAGTGTCTGTCAGAAGGAGAGTGTCTCTGCTGCCACCCAGTGGAGTCTTTACACAACAGACTTCAAGACTTCAATCAGAGGACTTAATGTGTTCTTTATGTCTTTAAGCAATAGTTTATTAATACACAGAAAAGTTAACAATACAGAATTATTACAGCAAACTGTAACTGCGCTGTGATATTAGTAAAATTAATGAGCTGCTTCTTGTAATAATAAAATCACTGAGGCGCTGCTACAGTATTTTAGAATTTCCTGTCTGTATTTGTCCAATGTCACAGTTTCCACCTAAGATTCTGCTGCATGTTCCTCAATGTTCTTGATGTTTAACAGGGGTGAAGACGAGGTTAGCCAGAAAAACAACGCTCTGAAACAGGTGAGGGAGATGCAGGCCCAGCTGTCTGAGCTGCAGGAGGACCTTGAGTCCGAGAAAGTGGCCAGGAACAAGGCTGAGAAACTCAAGAGGGACTTGAGTGAAGAACTTGAGGCCCTTAAGACCGAACTGGAGGACACCCTTGATACAACCGCTGCCCAGCAGGAACTTAGGTGCTGTACATTTATATCATAGACAGTGGTGCATGTAGACAACTGTATTATTATTATTATTATTATTGTTATTATTATTAATTCAACAGGAAAGTTAAGACTTTTCTGTCTTCCTGTTCTCTGTAGGACCAAGCGTGAACAGGAGGTTGCAGAGCTGAAAAAGACGATTGAGGATGAGACTAAAAACCACGAAGCTCAGATCCAGGAGATGAGACAGAGGCATTCCACTGCCTTGGAAGAGCTTTCTGAACAGCTGGAACAGGCCAAGAGGGTAACATACTTTCCCACAATGTGAAATCTAACCTCAAATCCAAAGACACTAATGTTTGCTGTTGATTATATCTAGTTCAAGGCCAACCTGGAGAAGACCAAGCAGAGCCAGGAGAGTGCCAACAAGGAGCTGGCCAGCGAGGTCAAGAGTCTGCAGCAGGCAAAGACAGAGTCTGAACACAAGAGGAAGAAACTGGAGGCTCAGCTGCAGGAGTCCATGGCCAGGGTCACTGAGGGAGAGAGAGCCAAGGGAGAACTGTCCGACCGCGCACACAAACTGCAGGTGAGGGATGGAGACACAAACATATTTGATTTGAGACAGTGGAATCAGTCCAACTTTTAGTTTTTCTAAATAATACATTAAAGAATACCTTGAAATCAATTTGTTTTTTAATTTTAATTCCTGGATTTTTAGGTTAAAACTGGCAACTATGAAGGGAAAAAAACGTAATTTTGACAATTGAATGTATATGTTGTGATGCTTTCCATGAGTTACTGTGATTGTTTAATAATAGATTTTTAATTAAATCACGAGTACAGAGATCATTTTCTAATTATTTAGTTGTTATATATGAATTATAAAATCAAATAAATTTGACTTACATGGATAACAGTTTTTTTACTATTATACCTCTCCATACAGACTGAGTTGGACAATGTGTCTGCCATGCTGGAAGATGCAGAGAGGAAAGGTATCAAGATGACCAAAGATGTTGCCGGACTAGAAAGTCAGCTACAAGACACACAGGTGACATACAGTATCTCTCAGTATTACTCATCACTTTATGCATCCTTTCTTTTAAACTAACTGGACAAAATATTGATTATCATTTAGGAGCTGCTCCAGGAAGAGACGCGTCAGAAACTAAACCTCAGCAGTCGCATACGCCAGCTGGAGGAGGAAAAGAACACCCTGCAGGAGCAGCAGGAGGAGGATGAGGAGGCACGCAAGAATCTGGAGAAACAGATGTTGACCCTACAGGCTCAGGTAGGACATGTGGTCTCTGCTGTAGGAAACAATTTGTGAATAATATTTTTGTTAATTTTTATTCAGAATTATGCTTTTTTTGTTTTGTTTGTAGCTGTCAGAGAGCAAGAAGAAGCTGGAGGATGATGTTGGAACAATAGAGACTCTGGAGGAGACGAAGAAGAAGCTGCAGAAGGACCTGGAGCTGACCAGCCAGCGTCTGGAAGAGAAGACCATCGGGTTTGAAAAGATGGAGAAGACAAAGACCCGTCTGCAGCAGGAGTTGGATGATCTAACTGTAGACTTGGATCACCAGAGACAGATCGTCTCCAACCTGGAGAAGAAACAGAAGAAGTTTGACCAGGTGAGAACACACTTTATTGTAGATATTCTGCTGGCTTTTATATGATATCTCTTCTGGAAAACAAATTTGGATGGAGTGAGTTGGGAAGTTATCTTAGATCTATTTTTAAATACTGCAATTTAATCCTCTAGCTTTACAGTCACGATTTCATCATATTTTAATTTTAATCAAATATTGAAACTCTCTCTGTAGATGCTGGCTGAGGAGAAGAGCATCTCAGCTCGTTACGCTGAAGAGCGTGACCGTGCTGAAGCTGAAGCCAGGGAAAAGGAGACCAAAGCTCTGTCACTGACCAGAGCTCTGGACGAGGCTCTGGAGGCCAAAGAGGAGCTGGAGAGGGTTAACAAGCAGCTCCGTGCTGAAATGGAAGATCTGATGAGCTCCAAGGACGACGTGGGCAAGAATGTGAGCGTTAGGATCAATAAAGCACATGTGATTTGCTGTGTCGAGCAGTAGTCTCACCAGTCGTCCTCTGGTTTGTCTTCTCCCCGTCAGGTCCACGAGCTGGAGAAGTCCAAGCGTACTCTGGAGCAGCAACTGGAGGAGATGAAGACTCAGCTGGAAGAGCTGGAGGACGAGCTGCAGGCCACAGAGGATGCCAAGCTGCGTCTGGAGGTCAACATGCAGGCCATGAAGGCTCAGTATGAGAGAGACCTTCAGGGCCGGGACGACCAGAACGATGAGAAGAAGAGGGCACTGGTCAAGCAGGTGCAGAATAATACTTTACTTTCAATACCAACAGTTTAACAGCAGTTCAATCCCAACACACTAACAGCTTATACCGGCTCCCCAATCAGGTGCGAGAAATGGAGGCAGAGTTGGAGGATGAGAGGAAGCAGAGAGGTTTGGCTGTAGCTGCTAAAAAGAAGTTGGAGATGGATTTGAAGGATATAGAGAGTCACATAGAGGGAGCCAACAAGGCTCGAGACGAAGCCATCAAACAGCTGCGCAAGTTACAGGTACGAGTGTTTGAATCCGTTACACTTCACACCCATTCTATGCCACCGTGAGCAGACATTCTCAGCAATTTGTGTCCTCTTTCAGGCCCAAATGAAGGACTACCAGCGGGAGTTGGAAGATGCCCGAGCTTCTAGAGATGATATTTTCGCCATATCCAAGGAAAATGAGAAGAAGTTGAAAAGTCTAGAGGCCGAGATTGTACAGCTACATGAGGTACAGGACAGTGGAATGGTGCTGGATCCCATTTTCTGTTTGTTGTGTTACAGTGTGAAGGTTGGAGGGTGTTGATTTATGGTTGATAGGGTTTTTTTGTATTTACTGTATATTCATTATAAAACAATGAATGGTCCCTCTAAACATCAGAAATGTTGATAAGCTGAGTTTAACTTTTGACCTTTTTTTTGCAGGACCTGGCAGCATCTGAGAGGGGACGGCGCCACGCGGAGCAGGAACGGGATGAGCTGCAAGATGAAATCTCAAACAGCACCTCTGGAAAGTAAGTTACCCTCACCCACTTGACCACACATCTGCATCTTCTTGTTTACATTGTCTTTATATTGTCGGAGCAGCAGACAAAGGGGGATTATTATCAGGCACATCTCTTGTTCTTAACTTTCTTGTGCTGTTTTTTATTTTGCAGCAAACCTTGGCTATTTTTTAAACATATTGTTTTGTATGGTGCCATTTTTTATCTAAAATTAAAAACCATAATAATAACAACAAAGATCAAATACAGCAGAAAAAAGGGGGAAATAAAGCAGCACAGCCTAAATTAGAGTAGAATAAGTATAATCAAGTTATCATCCAATTTCTTCTATCGTGAATAAGTTAAACCTACTACAAGGATTTTTAACTGGTTATGAAACAGTCTCAATTTAATACTGATGCCTCTATATGACCTACATAAATGAACAAGCGACAAGACTGGCTATTTCTGTTATTTATTAATTATTGTTAATGCCTGCCACTGGATCGAATTTCCCTTGAAAACAATGAAAGGAGGCGATAGAAATGCCAACACCACTGTGCTCCAGAAAAGACTGCCATCAAGCAGTTTTTTGTGATTTTGAAATCTTATATTTCTAAAGCAAGACAAGAAGTCATGCCATAGAACATATACATTGTTTTGCTTCTGACTAGGCAAATATTAATTCAATAACTTCCTCAAGTGACTCAGGCCTCAGGGTAAGCATTTAGAACACAGAGGGAGGGTTAATAGGAAAATATTTTGTCACTCCCCCTATGCAATTTGAATTTAATGCATGTCTGTAGAATTTTAGCCAGTACATAAAGTGTGGTCTTCTTTGTCAGCAGACAGAGGTGATGAATGTCATCACATTTTTAACTCTTTGTGCGTCAGGTCTGCTCTGATGGATGAGAAGAGGAGGCTGGAGGCTCGCATTGCTCAACTGGAGGAAGAGCTGGAGGAGGAGCAGGGTAACATGGAGCTGCTCAACGACCGCTTCAGGAAGACAACTATGCAGGTGTGGTTTAATACATTTTCCCCGCCCCGCACAATGGGAGTGCAGTTTTCCACTCCACCTCCCACCATTCTTTTTTGTGACCTCCTCTCCTCTCTGTCCCTCAGGTGGACACCCTGGCTACAGAGTTGAGTGCGGAGCGCAGCACCGCCCAGAAGAGTGAAAATGCTCGTCAGCAATTGGAGCGTCAAAACAAGGAGCTGCGGGCCAAGCTGGGCGAGCTGGAGGGTTCTGTGAAGAGCAGGTTCAGGGCCTCCATCACTGCCCTGGAGGCCAAGATAGCACAGCTGGAGGAACAGCTGGAGCAGGAAGCCAAGTGAGAATTCAATATACTGTTCTCCTTGCTTAAACTAATGAATGTTACTTGTATCAAACAGTTCAAAACCTATAAACTAGGCTAAATCATTAAAACACATTTACCTGTGGAACTAAATCTTGTTTTGTTTCTCTAAACCTCACTTGTTCTCATTTTAAGGGAGCGAGCAGCAGCCAACAAGATTGTGAGAAGGACCGAGAAGAAGCTGAAAGAAATATGCATGCAAGTAGAGGATGAGCGTCGCCATGCCGACCAGTTTAAAGAACAAGTATGTAGGACACTGTTGACATTAACACAGCTGTTACAAGCTCTTTTCAAACATTTGCTCCATGAATTATTTAAAAAGAGATAAATCGCTGTAAGAGTTTGAACTCTCTGGTCACTGGTATTTGTCTTTCTCATCCTATTCTTTAATTACATACATCATAGGTGGCCATTATCTTACACAAACCTCCTCCACCTTTCGACAGAGTGATTTTGCACACGTTTTTATATTTCTTTGTGATGTATATATTCTTTGTGTGTGTGTGAAGGTGGAAAAGGCGAACTCTCGTATGAAGCAGCTGAAGCGTCAGCTGGAGGAGGCTGAGGAGGAGGCCACGAGGGCCAACGCCTCACGCAGGAAGCTGCAGAGAGAGCTGGATGACGCCACCGAGGCCAGTGAGGGTCTGAGCCGCGAGGTTCACACACTCAAGAACCGCCTCAGGTACGATGTTAATGATAATAAAGTGTCTTTTAAATGACATTTTACATGGTGTCAATCAAATATTTGACTCCTTAAATGAGCATATATATTATCTGACAGCTTTTTCTTGCTTTCTTAATTTCTGCCTCTGATCAAATGCCTCCCTTCCTTTTCCTCCTGCAGGCGCGGCGGCCCCATCAGCTTCTCCTCCACCCGCTCGGGCAGACGTCAGCTTCAGGTGGAGGGAACCTCCTCCTTGGACCTCCTGTCCGATGACGAGCTGGAAAACAAGATCACTGACAACAATGCCAATGAGACACCAGCGCCCCAGCCGGAGTAGAAGAGAAAAAGCCTTAACTTTTGCTCTCCCATCTACGTATCACCTCTCAGCCGCAACAAGAAAAACTTAGGGTCACCCGGCTTGAATAGGGGCCCTCTAGCCCATGTCTGGGTAGATCTGTTCTCTCCAAACAAATGCAGCATGATCTAAGCAAGAAAAGAAATTCCCGACATTACTTCTCAACCCTAAACCTTAGCAGACACCAGCAGTTGGACCCCCAACGCTCTCTTTACCGGCCCACTTAAGGTTGTAAGAAGCACTTATCTGCCTTACCCCTCCTTGTCAAGCTGCAGGGCTGTTCAGTAGCAACTACCATAACGTGCTGAGTAACCTGAATGAGACGTAAGCTGCATCACAGATAGAAGTGGTTTTCCTTCATAAATTGCACATGTGCATATGTTTTCAACTAAAAAGCCCCCTAATCCATTTGTGCACAAATTACAAACACATAAACCTTCTGATTGAGTTCTGCTCGTAATCCAGTGAGTGCACACATCTGGATGATCATTATCCTCTGTTGGACCAGTGTTTAGCTGTTTAAAATGCTTCCAAATGCTAAAATAATAGCATTGCAATATTTGAAATGAACAGATCATGATGAAAGCAACAACCCTTTGACTCCATTTTTTTTATCAGTCTACAATATTCAGTATGTCCATCATATGCATCAGTTTAGTTATATTAGTTCAACTGTAACTAAATAGTATTTTTCCAGTCCTGTGCTAGGATTCTTTGCTTGCATATGAATATAGAAATGTGACTGTAAGCTGCCTTGTTTCCTCAGTGCTACAAAACTTTGCTCTTTGACAGTATTGGTTTATGTTTGACAGTAGGTCAGTGTTGACTTGTAATTATTCGCTGTGAGTGCTAAAAGCAGCAACCACACGCATGTTCTTTTGCTTACTTCTTCTTCTTCTTCTTCTGTGCCTTTTTTCGCTCCCTCGAAACTCAAAACCCATATATGCCACATATACTGTTCGTATATTGAACCATGCCTAATTTCATGAAGGTATTTTCATAAGATATTCATAAATTTGCATATGTAATAAGATATTATTGGGAAACTGATTTTCTTTCATTTGTATGTCCTGCTACAGCTTTTATGTTACAACAGTGAGTGGTTTGTGGAACCGTGCGGGATTCTTTGTAGATGGGTGCTATGACTTTTCTTATTGATAACTTTTATACTTTTTGAGTTATTAATATTTAAAAACAATCCAATAGACAGCAACTGTATTTATATCTCTGCTGTTGTGTACCGTACAAACACCATCCATATTTCAGAATGCTCAGTATTGCACATCGATCAACTGTACCGATGCTCATTATCATGATATGTACAGTTTATGAGTTATTAGGAGCTATATAATACATTAAAGTCTAAGGAGCCCAGTTTACTCACATGGTGTTTATATGTCACCTTTAACCAGGACCACAACATTCAAAACTCTAAGTGCTCTCGGTTGCACAATAGAGCATTAGTGATGATGGCACGTGCTTCATGTTATCAGCCACATTAGCAGTGTCATCGATTTTCAAAGCTTGAGCAGTAAAATAATGCCAATCAGCAATTTTGCATTTACTTACTTTTTAAACATTATCTTGGGACTGAAGAATTGAACCTGCTGCTTCATGGTGTGCCTCTTGGATGAGTCTACAAGCCAGCAGGACCCCCTCCTCAAGCTTCAGGAAATGCTTCTATATTTCTTAGGTTTATTTTCCCCTCTTCTTCCATCTGCCCATCCAGTTGCACCCTGTTTAGAAGCTGAAAAGATTTTCTTATAAAATATTTATGCCACGGTGATTGCAGCAAGGTTTGACTGTCTGAGCAGTGTGTGTGTGTGTGTGTGTCTGATTCAGAAAAAGGTCAAATTAAATTCATAGACAATATTTCCACTCAATTAAATCCAGATTATGGATACCAGTGGTGGAAAATGACGTAGGTAAGTATGCAGGTACTGTTCTTAAGTAATATCCATCTTCTGGTACTTTATACTCTACTATATTTCAGTACATATATACAATATTAAGATTAAGGTTTTAGATTGAAATTAGATTTACATTTATAAAATACAATTCATTGTTAAAATGTTAAGATTTAAGGTGGAATGAGTAGAGTTTTCCTAAAAACAATGTTTAGACAAAATAATCCTTATGGCACACTAGAAGTGTATGTTGGTGCCTGTGTTTTCTTATTTTGTTCTGATGTTTCTGGGCATTAAGCTCTGGGCAGTGGCTGTGTAGCCCCCAGCCAATAACAGCTCAGGGTGTGAGGGCGGGGCTCTATAACAGTGCAGCCAGATCATAAGCAGCATTGGAGAGGTGCTTCTGGTTGAGCCAGGAGAGGAGGGGACAACTTTAAATAAAGTGGTTAAAACTAGTTCCACCTGATAGGCTACAACAGTAAAATGCTACTTATACACTGATATATCAGTATTGATAAGTAAGCATCGGACCATTTCATGTCCCAATTATCTTGACCATAATAATTGTGATACAGGAGGTTATCAGGATATTCATGACAATATACTTCAAACTTTTAAAATGGCACTAAAACATACTGAAATCACTTTAGCTTACATTTTATTAAGAAACATTTATTGTTTAACATTCCACCTCATCTGCCTCTTCTTTATTTTGAAATCTACTTCCACACATCCAACTTTTTTGTTGGAGATAACAACAGTCAGTTAGGTCACTTTCCTACTTAATAAGTACTTTTCTCTGAAGTGTATTTTGTTGATATTTTTGTACCCACATTTTAATTTTAAAATTAAGTAAAGGATATTTCACCACAGACACCCCTACCCCCTGCAGTTTTAAATGCTTCAAATCTAAATCATGTGATGACTTATTGGCCACTCTCTCCAGAACACCACAGCCAGCTAAACGCTTCCCCGCAGTCACAGAGGAGACAGAGTGTCAGTAATGCTCCGAGTTGTGGAAACAACTTCTGTAATCCTTCATCATGTGACTCATAGTAATAATCACTTCATAATGAAGAGAGACGGCTGTGGTGGTGAGACAGAGGCAGAGAAGGAGAGCTGGTCGGTCCACAAACCCTCACCAACATAGACCTCCACATCCTCCGGTAAGTGTCTCTGCAGCCCGGGTTGGAGGAGAGGCATCAGAGTGCGGCCAGCTGGCGTTTGTTTCCTTCATTTAACTCGAGTTTCTGAATTGTTTCTTCACTAGAAAGCAGTGGTGAACCTAAATATATGAGCTTATTACAAAGATGCACATTTAATTAGCTGCACTGGCCACTTGTGATGCCCTGAAATGCAGTTTAACTGTGAACCTTTTAGTGGCACTTGATTAAATAAAACTTTACTTCTGGACACTGCTGCTGTCGTAGACCTGCTATAAATAGTCCAGAGGTGGTGGTTCATAGCAAATCAGTTATTAACTGTCCATTCGTTTTAGAGACAATAAAACCAAACGGCTACAATGGACACAGTTAATTGTAGGGTTGATTTTAATTGCCTCACACAGTTGTGACCTTCATTCATTCACTGACATCAAATATTCAAATGCAAATGAGCCGGTGAATCACAGCCGGTAAAGCTGTCCTATAAATACGGACACAAAACATCCTGTTGTCCTCGCAGGGCCGGACAGAGGTGATCCTGCTGAGCGAGGAGAGGACAGAAGGAGACAACACGCAAGACTTTTTGGGGGGAGAGAGAGCAAAGTCGTATGATGTCCGTCGTTGGCGCGCAGCCTTTCATCAAACCAATGCAGCCATCACCTTCTGTTTCGCCTGGCATGCAAAGGAGGCACACACTGCCTGCGAGCGAATTCCGACCGCTCAACACGCAAGATGCCATAAGCGTCTTTGAAATCGAGCGAGAAGGTAAGAGACCCATATTATCATGTGTCATTTTGCTTTGAATGTAGTCACTGCTCAGAGATTCTTTTAATTACCCTTTAAACACAATGGGATAAATCTGTATTAGACACTTTTATTTTATTTATTATATTTTATTTTATTGGGCACTTTGCGCGGCTTTTACTGCGCGTAAAAGTAGTGCCAAAATCTTTGCGCATGGCCATATTCATTCTCTCTCTCTCTCTC